CTTGTGGCTGAGCATACTCCGTCAGCATTAACTTGGATTTCAAATCTTGTTGTGAGTGGTGCTGTCAAGGCAATCCGCAAGCGTGTCACCACTCGCGCCATGTTCGATATCGACGACATCGACACGGTCAAGTCCGCCAGGGACTGTAAGGTGCCGACGATGATCATACATGGCGAGAGCGATGACTTCGTGTCCCCGGAGCACTCCAAGAGGGTATTCAAGGCCTTTCAGGACCAATGCGTGCGCAAGGTAGTGCAAGGTGGGCACAACGACCAGCGCGGCACGAAGGACCACAAAGCAATCATCGATTTTATGATCCAACACTGCAGGAAGGAGGCGAAGCGAGAAGGCGGTGAACCGAGCAGGGATTCAGATCTTGGAGGTTCATGAGACTAAAGGGGATCACATTTGGAAAAGATATTATGTTACGCACGCTTAAGCTTGTGAAGCCGCAATTGAACCAGGCAGCCTAAGGCTCACAAGTGGAGCGTCAGCTCTCCACCACCGTGGAGAGAGTTCAACGGACCCCGAATAGTCTGCAGCACTGAGCGAAGTTGGAATACCAAAATCACTGATGTAAACAGCGGAACAAGCAGAAATATTAAATGGCAAATTACTTTTACTCTCCTCCCACCTGCTTAGGCAGGTATGTGCAAAGCTATAGGGAGGAGGAATGCGCAAATTATGGCATGGTTTATAACCTTTGATGTACTTGGGAATAAATGACTACCTTGGTGTTTAAGTGGTTGGGCGGATACGTTGTACATCGAGCCCAGAAACAATTTTTTAACTGATATTGAAAAAACATGGTCTGACTGACGAATGAATGAGGAACATTCTATACATTTCACTGAACAGTGTAGAGCATAGGGCAGTGATAGTTTGCGCGACTATTGTCGTCACGTGGAATGGTGGTGAGTGGGGCTTCGGCTTCATTACTTTCAGTCTTTTTATTTTTTACCTTCTCTTCGGTTTACCATGCTACCTCTCATAACTCAGCCGATGTGCAGTACTCACCGTACACAGTGGAATGGAGTTGAATCATAAGAAAAAAAAGAAACATTGGATGCAATCCGCCGTTAAGCTTCGTACTATACCCTCTTTGCCAACCCCTACCCCCCCTCCCTCATGTTGACGTTTCTGTTTTCAGTATTAGTACTACTCTCTTTTTTGTCTAGATCGCTTTGCGCTGCAAATGGATTTGTCGTCGTCGCCATCTCTTGAAGGGTTTGTGATTTCCTATTTGTGATCTTGTTCTTGATTTTTTTAGAAATTGATACGTTAACGCTATTTTCTATCGGGTAATTGTGAGGTAAGGGTCTGTAAATTGTTTTTAAATTTAAGGATTTCACCCATTTTGTAACAATATTTGGTTTGTTGCTTCTTTGCTTGACGCATTCGTGGTGTGAGATTGAATGACCGAAGTGTTTGAGTGCAAAAAATTTCCCACGAATTAGATGGGATTTGTGCTTATCTGTTCTGTATTGTGCAGTAATGCAGCTGCTATAAATTTTTGAACGTTGTATCGCGTAAATTTCTGCGAAAAAGATCTAGAAGAACGATGTGTTTTGATAATTTATTCACTTCTCTTTATTTATGGTTTCCAATAATGAGGTAGGAAAGATTTAATCAAAAGGAAAGCGGGTAAAGAGAATTAATACGTCAAGTAAAACTGAGGCAATGGGTAGTGTTCTTCCAAAGCCAATTCTTAGCAAAGTAGTGGAGCGGTCAGGCAACTCGTTTGTGAACTCCGGCAGCGCGTCTATGAACGGTTTTCGTTATACAATGGAGGACGCGCATATGAACTGCATTGAGGAAAATATTGCGTATTTTGGTGTTTTTGATGGGCACAGCAACGAAAAATGCAGTCAGTACGTAGCTGAATGTTTACCAGCCAAGCTGAAATCGCTGAAGGAGCCCATCACCGCGGAAATGCTGGAGTCTGTGTGTGTGCAAATCGACAAGGCTTTTTTAGAGCGCCACAACGATGGTGGTTCAACCGGGACATTCTGCATCCTTCGCAAGAATGGTCATCTGACGGTCGCCAATGTAGGAGATTCACGCATTTTAGTTGTACGTAATGGGAATATCATCTTCGAGACGGCGGATCATAAGCCGTTTGATCCTCCGGAGCGCGCTCGGATCGAGCGTTGTGGAGGCTTTGTTACTGGCAACCGTGTAGAAGGTGACCTAGCCGTCTCGCGCGCGTTTGGGGATGCCATGTTCAAAGAAGCTGGCGGCAAGAACTATAAGAATCAAAAGGTGATTGCGGTGCCGGACGTGTCGGAGGTGCAGTGCCAACAAGGTGATTTAATTATCATCTGCTGTGATGGCGTCTTTGAGGGAAACTTCACAAACATGACTGTTGCGCAATTCGTTAGCGAGCAGATGACGAAGTGTTGGGATGACCTCGCAGTTATCGCATGCCGCGTGTGTGATGAAGCGATCCGCCGCGGCAGCAGAGATAATATTTCATGTGTTATAGTCCATCTCGCTGAGGGTACCTCTAAGGTGCGAAAATTGGGCGCCAGGTCGTTTGTGCCGGGGCCGCCTTTCGCGCGCAACCACGACGGCTGTCGTGTGGCGTACACGAAGATGGCGGAACTTGCCAATCTGACATGCGCAGAGGCCCTCCAGAAGAGATACATGTTGCTTCAGATGCATGATCGAAAGATGCTTGGAAACATGCCCCCAGTGATGCGCACGGCATTCGAACTGAGCGATGATGTGGATCTGGAGACGGAACGCACCTTCTTCGGCCGGGGGCCCGCCCCCGGGAATGAAAGTGCCTTCTTCACAGCACTCGCACAGGGGAGCGGGTAAAGGTAGGAATGGGTGTTGCTGCTAGGGGAGGAAAGGGGGGGGGGGGGGGAGGTCTTTGGTTGTTATTAATATTATATTTCGGAATACAAAAGAAGAAAATTAAACCTTTTATAAATGCACAAACCGGTGGAAAGGGATGCTTTGAGTGTCCCCTTTACAGGTCATTGGCTCGGGTCTTGCCCAAGTTGTATGGCTGAAAGTGCACGTAATGACGTTAGGTTATGATTGATAGCTATAAAACAAAACCAAAAAAGTGGCCAAGGGTAGGAACAAGTTGAATCGAGGCCGCGAGCCTAATTTTTTACTCTACCTTTTTTTAATTTGCTCCTGGGAATCCCGATTAGTCTCTGATTTGGACTTTGGAAGTTGGTTTTATATGCCTTGTTAGATGCATGTAAAGTTTCATCGCAGGTTTTCTTTGAATGAACTGATCGCATGTCATTACTATAGACTATTTTTTCCGTTGATCTATCCCCTACTACTCTTCTTATTCACAAATCTCTGATTAAAGTAAGGAGGAAATCTAAAACAAATATTATTGCGTCAGTTCGCGTTTGGGGGATATTCGTTGTGATTCTAATTTATATTTTTTACCCATATTATGACCCTTATGATTAGGGTATGAGACAATAGAGTGGAAATAGGGTTTATTAACAAGTGAAATACACTTGAAGCGGAAAGGAGAGCAGAAAAGGTCGATGCTTTCTAAGGGGGGAAACATGTGTGCGCGTACTTATAGATTATTTACTATGTGAATCAGTAATTAGCTTCGATCTAACACGCATACAAACGTCAAAAAATGTATATCCCTGAACATCTATGGCCTCTTTAACTATATTCCAGTGTTGTGCTATAGGTACTCACATTTTACACGAATTCATTTTTATTATTATTTATTTTACTTTTTTTCATAGTATTCGATCCGCACGAAACAATCAAAAGGAAAACTAAACCACTCAACTCTTTTAAAACAGTTGAAAAAAATACGAAAATTCATGGTGTGAGTCGGTTAAATTCCGTTTTCGTTAGCATTAGAACTATTAATCTGCCGTGTAAATCTTGTCAAAAAAAAAGCTGTACGCGAAGCTCTCATCACTTCAACTTGAATTGTTCACTGTTATTTTAAGAGGATGTTCTGAGTATCCCCACCGACTCCTAACCCTATCTAATTACTTTCTCGTCAGAGTTTCTTTCATTGTTATTTGAACTTATCATTGAAGTAGTGACATCGTTAGAAATAGAACAACCATTAGATTATTAATCCTTTAAGCGTAAACTGAATTCTAGGTGGCGACGAGCGATCAACGCAAGGGACGAAGCAGTTACAATCCAAGGTGTCTGGATACGGAAAATTGGGACAAGGAAAATTATATACGTATATACACAGAGAGGGGAATATATATATATATATGGATAGATAGATATATACGAAGGACCGTGGGAAAAAAAATGCTCACAAAGGAAGAAGGGCCGAATCAATTCGGCAATAAATTGTACACTTTTGACTGTCGCTACGTCCTGGAGGTGCCCAAAGAATACCAAGTGAAAGAAATAATTGGTCACGGCGGTTATGGCATCGTGTGTAGCGCTTTCAATTCTAGTACCGACGAGCATGTGGCCATCAAGAAATACAATAAAATCTTTGATGATGATGTTGTTGCCAATCGCATTCTGCGGGAAATAAAGATCTTGAACCTTCTAAGCCATCCAAACATTATCAGCATTAAGGACATCTTTAGACCAACTGACCCGACGAATTTTAACGATTTATACATAGTCACGGAATTGATGGAGGTTGACTTGAAGACGGTGCTGAAGAACTCGAAACAACAGCTCACGTTGCTGCAATGTCAATACATTATATTGGAACTGTTATTTGCACTGCAGTACATCCACAGTGCAAACATCCTGCACCGCGATGTGAAGCCCGCCAATGTCTTGATAAACTTAGATCTCAGTCTGAAGCTGTGTGATTTTGGTCTGGCGCGGGAGATCTGTAAGGACATGTCGTTTTACGTCGTAACGCGGTGGTACCGGTCGCCGGAGCTTCTTCTGGGGTGTCAAGAGTATGGCTATGGCGTGGATCTGTGGAGTTTAGGTTGTTTAGCTGTGGAAATGATCACCAGCATGCCGCTGTTTCCCGGGAAAGATTATAAGCACCAGCTTACTCTGATCACTAGCCTCCTCGGGCCGCTCGACATCGAGCGAGACATGCCCGCGGTTGAGACCGAATTCTCTCAGCACTTTGTGCGTGAATTAAAACACGAGCGCTCCTCCCTGGAAAAGTTTATTCCGCAAATTCGCCACCGCTTCAATGAAGACAGTTTTTATGATTCCTACGATGCCGATGATCACTCAAAAATGTCCTCATTATCACCGAGGAAGCAATACGAGCTATTTGAGGACTTCATCTTAGGTTTACTGAAGTATAAGCCGAACGACCGCTTGACGGCGAGTCAGGCTATCATGCATCCATGGCTGGCGGAATTACTAAATTTGCAAACCGAATGGGAGGGCTCAAAAACCACTGCACCGTTAAACATAAGCTTCGAGAAATATGATAGCTCCGCTAGTGAAATTATTAGACAGTTTCTCATTCTAGAAATTGACAAATTTGCCGAACGAAAAAGGCTAAATGCTAAAAACGAAAATTAAAAATGCACAGGGAAAATTGTATCTGACAATCTGAGAAGAGAGCTCAGAGAATCGTATTATTTGGTAAAAATGAAGATACAAAGCGAACAACATAAATGTGGGAAATGGAATTACAAATATGGATTAGGTTTTGAAATGAAAATGAAACACATATCGTGAAAGGATGAACTATGCAACTATTGATATCTTCCAATGCTCTCGTTTTTTTGTGTCGAAAAATGCGTAACTTTATCGATTCGGCTATTCTTCATGATCAAGCCTTTTATTGCGAACACTGTAGTTCGAATTATTCTCAAGTTGGCATGTATTTGATAATTTATTTATTCTAACACCTGTATATCATTTTAAGCATTGTTTATCATCTGTGGCCCCATTGTTGTGCCTATAAAACAAGTCAGGATGAAGTGCTTTCGTGATGGATAAGCCGTGATTGGAAAGTTTTTCATAATAAAACACCATGAAAGCCTTTTGAGATACAAATATATATACATATATATATATGTATATAATATATATATCACCCGCATGGTAGATAAAACAGTATCTAACAAAACATAGCTTTTGACTGATTGACACTATTGCACAGCGATCCGCGAACACACACCTCAGGAATGAGGAATATCTAAGCAATAAAATCTTTTCTAGTGTAAAGCGTACGTTGGCCATCTAGTGCTTATCCACTATGACTAACCTTGCCATCCTGAAACAAAAATTGAAATTATTGAAACGTGAGGATATCCCCATGCATTCTGGGCGCGATTCTAAACTTCTCGAAGCAAGTATTATTCTACTTTTGTAATTGTAGAGAATCTCTTTGAAAATGGTATAGTGTTTTGTAGCTTTGCACATCAATATGCTATGGATTAAAGGTATTATGAACTTTGTTCCAACGCTTCCAGTGAATTCCATAGTAAACGAATCACTACCAATCCACCGAGCTACTACGCAATAGTGGTTATAAATTGTCTAGCTGTTGATAGCATAGACACTTATTAACACTAACTATATGATCGTAAAGCATAATTTCCTAAGACAATGAAAAAATAATGTATTCTATGATACATTGATGCCACAGTATCTATATTCATTATTATGTTTGTTTGCTTACACAATTACACTCAATCAGCACCTTATTCGTGTCTTGGGGCGATTTCAAAAGCTGCAGAGCCATGCCAAAGATTTTCAGTCACCCTATAAACTCTTTTATTATCATAGATTTGTGAGAAATAGAATGCCCTTTGCCCTATCAGTTTGAATTAATAAAAGTATTTCGAATATATTATATACATATATAACGATATATATATATATATACATTTATATAACCGAAAGGAATTATGAAGGTACGGAGTTCCACTAAAAAGGGGCCCAAAAATATCTCGGTATTTCTCCGCGTCAGACCTCCCACATCAATTGAGAAGGGGCATTCCTTTGACAACATCTCATACGATCCTACTGACGATCGTGTAATCAATATAACACGCAAATCTTCCGGCAACCCAATTCATAAAAAATTCCTTTTTAATCGTGTTTTCAAACCTAAAAGCTCGCAAAAAGAAGTCTATGATGCCTTTGCCAAGAACGCTGTTGATGCCGCGTTTGATGGGCTGCATGGCGTGCTCTTTGTGTACGGCCAAACTGGGTCTGGTAAGACTTACACTATCAGCAATGACGATGGTACGCCTGAGAACCTCGGTATGCTGCAACGAGCCTTAATGGATGTGTGGAACCGCATTGCGGCCGACAAAGATCACGAGTACACATGCATGCTCAGCTACGTCCAGTTGCATAATGAAATCTTAACAGACCTGTTAGACGATGATCAGGGTCGTGTGCGCATCCAGTTGGGCAGCGAAGGGGACGGTGATGTCGTCTTGGTAAAGGAAACTACGGGATTGCCCATTGAAAAAAAGGTCACGAACTACGACGCCACGATGAAATTGTTTGAGCTCGGTATGAGTCGGAGAGAGATAGCAAGCACCTCTATGAATAAGATGAGTTCCCGCTCTCATACGATGTTTACATTCCTTATCAATAAGTCATCGCGTGTAAAACCTGTAGCTGTGAGAAGTGAGATCGAAGCCAGTGATGAACTAAACCCTTCGTGTGTATCTCTGGAGGGACGTCTTATTTTCTGCGATCTTGCCGGTAGCGAGCGCCTCAGCAAATCTCAAGCCGATGGCAAGAATCTAGTTGAGGCCACGCATATCAATGGTAGTCTTTTGGTGCTTGGAAAAGTGGTGCACGCGTTAACAGAGAAATCGCAGCATGCTCCTTTCCGTGAATCCAAGCTGACGCGTATCCTGCAGTACTCGCTAATGGGCAATGGCAACACCTCTATTATAGTCAACATCAGTCCGTCGGATTCTAACAGTGATGAAAGCCTAAGTGCTATAAATTTCGGCCAGCGCGCGAGCCAAATCAAGCAGGATGCGATAAGACACGAGATACTCGATTACAAGGCGCTCTACCTGCAGCTTATGGCTGAGCTCGACGCGAAGAACGACAAGACCCTCGAAAATGCCCTGGAGGAGGAACGGAACGTGTACGAGTACCAAATCTCAACTCTGGAGGAGCAAGTATCGACCCTTACCGCGGAGAACAAGGTGCTTCGTGGAGAAAATGCTGCGTTACGGTCTGGGATGCCTCAGGATAAGCTAAATGCCACGTTGGCGTCTCTTGGTGATAGGGACTGGAAGGAGGTGATTATGAAAACGCGCGAGATGATCACAAAGCGGGATGAGACGATCCGTTCAATCGACGAGGAACGGATGAAATTGGCGCTACTCCTATCCGTGGAGCAGCGCAAGTGCTTCAAGCTCGCTCAAAAGTTGCAGGGCACGATGGCGCGTTATCAGCTCACATGTAAAGAGATGAGCAGTCGGGTGGATAAACTCAGCATCGAGCTGGCAGAGGCGAAGGGAACCGATTACTTAAGCCTGGGCGGCAACATGCAGGAGAGCCCATCTTCCCCGAGAAGCAATAATTCGGACCCTAACAGCCTATTCGATGGGTCAAGTGAGGATGTCGAGAAGCTGAATCAGAAGCTGCGGGCCTACCGCGCGGAACGGCTTGAGCTTATTGCCTACCAGTCCAAGGCTCAGAAGGCGATACGCTTGCTGGTGGCTGAGAAGGAGGCCTTGCAGCGGAAGTACGAAAGTGGTAAGGGTCGCGCATCATCCTAAGCATACTTTTCTTTTTGTATCTATCATTGCATTTTTTCATTTATTTCATTTTTCGATACTTGATGAAAAATATGCGACCTCATTGACTTCGTGACTAAATTAATTATTATATATCTATGTTTTGGCCTTTTTTTTAAAGGGAATTACATTTTTTATCTTCCTACTTTTCACGAATAAACTGTGCATAGGTAGTTTAATTTGGTTGAAGTATGTTTTCCCATCTGTTTTGTTTGTTTTGAGGAAAAAGGGGGAAATGAATGCATAACTTTTGATGTATGCAAATGATAAGATGGAAAATATTTACGCAGATGTTCCTTCTCGCTTGGGAGGACGCGTATTCGTGGAAAAGCATATATGCAATGGGGAGGTGGGCTAATGATTGTGTAGCAATAATTTAGCCCGGTGTTTGTCTCGCAAGTTGTAATCCTTCCCCACCCTTAAAATACTTTTTGCTAAATGTTTTTTCTTTGTTTATTTGATTTCGGATAAACTATTCTTTACAATCGAAAATGTCTAAATGAAGGCGAAAAGAATTAGATGCTTTAGTAGGCGGAGCATGGACATAAGCTCCAGTGCTAGGCTTTCAACCCTACTATTTGCTGCTAGGCACAATCGAGCAGAGGGAATTCATACGCATGGGCAACATTGCGGCAGACAGGGTGTTCAGACGGAGTAAAACTCAGTTCTTTTTTGTGCTTATACCTTCTAAAATAGCATCTTACGAATTTATTTGTGGCTTTTCACCTCTTTTCGTGGGGTAAAAATATGTTTTCTGGTTATATATGCGTGTGTATAAACCCATACATACATGTGTACGTCTACACTTTTCCATTGGTGGTTTATTCGTCAATCCATAGAAGAAGAAAAACTCGGACAAAAACGAAAATATGGTAACAAAATCGGCTTCAGTTTTTGCCCTAGATGTGGCCTGCGCGAACAGAAACGCGATCGAGCAGGGCTGCGAGCTGTGCATACGATCCACGCTCGATATCATGGTGCACACGCCGCACGATGAGCTAGGCCTTGTGTTCGCTGGCACCAAGGAAACCCTCAATCCGCTCTTCAGGAGCGGCGATACGCGGAGGTGGTACGAGCACATCATCGTGAAGCACGATATTATGCAGCCTACCACGGTGGCTACCCTTAGGCCGCTGCTGGATCTGTCGCGCCAGCTGAATTCCGGCGACCTCTCATCTCACGAGACGTGCGATATGCTGGAGACGATCGCCATCTGCGCACACCTGCTTTCTGCGCGCAAAGGCGGCGCCTTGACCATCTACTTCATCACCGATGCGAAGGACGAGGTCGCCCGGAAGGAGGAGGTCTACTCGATTCTGAAACTGCTCCAGAAGGAAAACATCGCGCTTGTTGTGATAGCAGTGGACTTCAGCAAGGACATGGGGAATGTGGAAGCGGAATGGGACGGTCTCCGCGCAAAGGCGCAGAATGAATGTGTTTTACGTTTTCTATGCGCCTCCCTCGGGGGGCGCAGCATGGTGGTATCGCTGGAGGATGCCATTCAGAATCTGAAAGAGGGTGTGCACCGGAACACGATGCCGCAGCGTCCTTTTCTTAAAGTCGTGCTCACCGTTGGCGATATCCGCATCGCGACACAGATGTTCTGCAAGACACGAGATGCCAAACCGTCTGCTCTCAAACGCGTCACCCAAGCTGGCGAGGCGATCTCCAGGAGCTTCGAATACAGGCGCGCCGACAACCTCGTAGCCATCGAGGATTGCGTCAAATTTATTCGTTATGGTCAAAATTGTATACCGATCACAGAGGCCGATTTGGAAGCGATGAAAATTCGAGGAATGCGCTCCCTGGTGGCACTTGCGTTTGTTCCACTGGATGATATCCCGCCTTATATTCTCATGGGTGGAGTTAAAGTGGTGCTAGCACTTGCTGGAGATTATGTCGGGCAGAAAGGTTTCTCAGCACTGGTGCGGGCAATGGTTGAATCCCGAAAAGCTATGATTGTGCGATTTGTACGCATGCGCGACGCTCACCCAGTTCTTGGAGTTTGCATTGGATCTTCTAATGCCAAACGAGACGCGCTCTTCCTTGGCAAGCTTCCCTTTGCTGATGATGTAAGTCTTTATCAATTTCCTAAACACGAGGAAGTGGTGTGCAGTGCCGACGAAGAACAACTGGTGGCGGCATTGGTGGACGAAATGACGGTTGGCAGGGAGGTTCTACGACCGAACAACACATTCAACCCTTTTCTCCAGCAGTATTACGAATATCTGCGCGCGGCGCTTAAGGCTGACGCATCGGGTGCCAAGCAGAAGTTTTCAATCAATGAGATGCCAGCGCTTCTGCAGAGTCTCCGGCGTACCTCAACCGCCTTCGCATCCCCTGGAAACACCCTTCAGCCTATGTTGCAGCGTGTCAAGGAAAAACTTGAACTGTGCTCGAAGGCATTTCCTTATGTCGAGACTGACAAACCGATCGACATCAAAAATCTGAACGGCTCCTGACGCAGAGCCCCAATGGGAATGCCGGAAGATGGAATCAGTGATGCCCTATCTGGCAGCGAAAAAGTTCTATCCAAGGTAGCTCATGGTGCGGTCACTGCAAAGGATCTCGCTCCACATGACAGCAAAGTCTCTTCATCGTCAACCCTCCCATCAAAGAAACAACCGGAGCTCGCCAGCGAGGTTGACATGATTATGTTAGAGATCACTCTTGCTTCACCCATGTGATTTCTTCACGAAGAGGTGACGTGGTGGGTACGCCGGTTGAAATCTGTTGGGAGCCGTCCTTTCGCAGCCCCGGAGGTTTTGTCCACGAAGAGGATAAGATTGCGTGTGAGAAGGTGGGAGGGAGTATTATGCCTAATATACTGCAGTCGTCGAATGCTGAAGTCGCCGAGAAAAGCACATGCCGCACTCGATAGGGCCCTGGCGATTGTGAGGAAAGTTGTATCCTAAACTGGCGAGGGGTGCTACACTTTTCGACCGGGTGGTGTCACTAACAGTTGGTGTTTTCTTATCTTGAATGCATGCCGTGAGATGCGTTGTAGATGGAACAATGGGACAACTATGAACGGGAAATAAATGGTCCTGGTGTCGCTGTGAAACATTGATGGGGAAAATTTGGGCGATAATGTGGATGTACGTAATCCGGTTATCAATGTTCGGAAACAACCTCTCATAACTACGACCTCTCTGTGGATTCAGAGTTCATAATATGGTACCTATTTCAAATCAAAAATCCTTTTCTAGCATATAAATTCTCTAATATTTCACCTTTTCCTTACCTTGTTTAGAAAAATCTGTTATTAAAACAATTTTCAAAATCTTTTTAGCTTTGTTATTAAAAGACTTGAGAACAAGTTCAATTAGTGTGAGAAACTGTGTGAAAAGGAAGAAAAAAAATTATTCACCCCTATATACATATCCAAATATGAGTAAAGAAGAAACGAAGCAAGTCCAACCAGAAGCAACTTCCCAGACGAGGCCTCCCCCAGCCACCCATGATGCTCCAGAGAAGCGCAGGCGCGACAGCGCAAAGGAGCTTTTGGAAGAGCTGGACAGCGGTGGGTTTCATCTGAACCACACCGTCCGGCTTTCTGCCCTCCAACGGGCCTGCATGGCGGTGCCAAACCTCACCCCATTGCTCACGGGTGATCGACGCGCGAAGTTGTACATGCGGCTGCTGCTGGATAACAAGCCTCAGCTGGAGCCGATCCCGGAGTCGCTCGCGTCCTTCGCGACGGAGGCAACGGATGATTACCACGCTGCCGCCATAACACTCATGGCCTTACTAGAACCTATTCCATTGGAAGAAAGTGAGGTGGTTGGATTTCTGTGCTATTTGAGTTCTAAGACGGAGTTTTTCCCCAACGAAGAGAACCTTTCCCTCTTAAACCTTGTAGCGGTCGTTCTATCGGACGCACAACTATCCTCTGGGCATACAGTGCTGCAGCTCCTTTTCAATTTTATTCAACCACTGCTCAAAGACTTCGCGATACCTATGTCCTCCAAGCCTTATGATAAGACGACGACACAATTGCTGCGGCTGATTCTTCAATATCACGATCCCGCCCTTTCCATCCACTTCGATCAATGCCATATCTCGATCGGTGAACTGCTATTGCGCTGGGTGAGGCAGTTTTTTGTACTGGACGGGGAATATCGCGCGGCATTAGGAACCATAGACTATCTTCTGGTGCTAGGAGATCCCGTCCTGAACCCTTTCGTCGCTTTAGCCTACATTATCGCTAATCGGCAGAGTTTACTCAGCATCCATGAAGCCGAGGTACTCCGGAATGCGCTGGATACTCTCAAAATGGAGCTTCCAGGGGTAAAAGAAGCCGCGCTGGATCCGTGGCTGGTGGATGGCCGCAGCTTCGCACCGATGCCGGTGTGGTCTGGCAAGACCCTGCTGCAGAATGCCGACCTTCTTCACCGCAATACGCCTCAATCCACACGGCGGGTTCTCGGGCTCTGCCTTTATCCCGATATGGGTTCTATCAATAAAACATTTGAGGAGCTGGAGGCGTACTACGCCGGCATGCCGTGCCTGCCACTGGAGCGCTCCGACATCGCCTCAAGCTTCTCCGCTAAACCCCACGACCCCGCCGAGGGGACGTCGCTTCAGTACATCATCGTCGACTGCCGCTCCCAGGCGAGCTTCGACTACGCGAGACTCCCCACCGCGGTGTTTGTGGGCGACGTCGTCAGCTTCGACGCGGATCGGCTGCAGGAGATGGTGGACCGCCTGATGCCCACCAAAGGGGCGCACTTCTCCGTCTTCGGGACCGGTCGCGGGATCGTCGAGGAGGCCAACCTCCTCACCATCGTCATCCTCCACCTGGTCCAGCGGCACTTCCCGTTTGTGAGCCTGACCGCTGGGGGGTTTAAGGGCCTCCTCACGCTCATTCGATCCAACCTCATCCGTCTCACCGGGTCCACCGCGGAGGCCGGGGAGGCGGGCGGGAAGAGCCTCTCCGCGGCCGTTTCTGAGCTCGTCGCGGACGCGATGGGGGCCCCTGCGGTGCAGTCGATGTTAAGCGGGCTCAATGAGATGCGGCAGACCCTCCTGCCCCGCGCCGCCGCGGAGGTCGGGGAGGTGAAGGGGCGGGCCGTGCAGGGGCTCTCCGCCGCCACCGCCTGGGGGGCGGGGCTCGTCCACCGCCTGCAAGAACGCCTCGTCGCGGAGCCTCGATCCCATCCAGAAGCGGGAGCCTCCGCGCATAACGGCGAGGAAAAAGGGAAAGGAGGAGAAGGGGCTTCCGAGCCGTTGCAGGGTCGTGTTCTGCCTCGACCGGCGCCCCCGTCGCACATCTTCACCCTCGGCGGCGACGACGACAACGAGGACCTCGACCTCATCGTGGCGATCCCCTCGGTGCCGGTGAAGGGGAAAGTCGTCGCGACGACGGCGGCGGCAGAGGCGGGAGAGGGAGGGGTGGAACCCCCCCATGTGGTAAACCCGTCACCCGTTGAGAAGGGCGCGGAGGATGCCAAGGGTGAGGATCCCCACTTAGTAGGATCGGACGGGAAGGATGCGACGCCGAGCTCCCCGCTCGAGCCAGTGGTGGCGAATATCGATAAGGAGTTTGAGCAGCTGTTTGGGGAGATATCGACACCGGACCGGAATGCAGCAGCGCCGTCCGGGGCAGAGGTAGAGAAAAAGGACTTAGACGATGACAACGACATCTTCAATGACCTGTAGTAGATTCTTGGAAACCTACTTGTAAGCTTTCATTGGTTACCTAGCGTGATTTGGGTTTATTCGTTGTGCAACATGATTTTCCAATGTTTATGCATATATATATATTTATATTTATATATGTATACTAGTTTTTTTATTTCGAAAAGGAAATGAAGTAGAAGCTGTAATGGTGCTTCGTCGAATTATTATTGGCTTATTTGCGATATGTCCATTTGATGAGGACTTTTGGGGGGGCTTCTGCGCCACTACTACACTGGAGCGAAAAGAAGGAAATATAACATGTTCATCATCGGAATTAGGTTGATTTTGACTTTACCAAGTCCTCCTTTATTGTTCTTTTTTTCAAAATGGTGAATAGAAATCAAACAAAAATGTTCAACTAACTCTCATGTAAGTGTTGGACATGGTGTCCTGTATTTATCAGCTAATAAATCATGTTTCTAACGGTATGCTTGGCGGTCCTCAATCTTTTTTGATCTAATTAGATAGTTTCACAAGGTTGGAGAATGACAAATTATCCACTTCATCGAATCTAGAAAGGAAGTCAAATCAATTGTGGTTGGGAAAGACACGTGCACCGGTCGCGGATGCAATGTAGGAGCAACTTTGAATGCTGAATATGCTTCACAAAGAATACATAGTAGCGTACCACGAGCTTTTCGCAGCGCGAGAGAACGTGCGACCTGTTGCCTTGACAGGGTAGTATGTCGATTTTGAAAATCCCATTTTTAGGGATTAGCATGGTGCATGGGATTTTTCTCTCGGTTTCTTTTGGCTACTCTGTCAATCTTCAAATAAATAGTACATGGCAACCCTGTTGATTTGAATATCAGGCTGGCTAAATGCAGAAAAGATCTCTTTAAAATAAGGGATATAAAAGCAGCCGAAGATCAGGAAACCATCACTAGGGACTCGTCCAGATCTAAGCTTATCACGAGTGAGAAGAATGGTCTACTTCATAGTGTCTCCTTAGGTTTATGTAAAAAAAAAAGCGGGTTGGAAAGGGATACGGCTGTGGTTTCTCTGCTTAGACTCTATACATAGTCTTTTTTCCCCCACTTTCGATTTTGATAACCATTTGTTCCACAAAACAGAAAAGTGACTACTCAGAAGCTTGGGGAAGCTACACAACTCTTTTAGAAACAAAAATAGAAATCCTATTTTCAAATGCATCGCTGGTTGTGTAGTGCGTCTTCGCTGAAGATGTGCATCTCAGGTGCTCGATACTATATGCACACGAATCTTCCGTCGCACGTCGTGGGCAGTGGAGGCTGTTATCAAAGCCTTCGCCTGTTCTCACGCGTGCACGGCGCTAGGTACCCCTCGGCAATGGTGGGTGAAATGCATGGCAGCGTCTGCGCTATCCGTCGTACCATCTCGGACCCGCCGCGAGCAGCGGCAACGACCCAGAATGGGTTTAAGACCTCCATCGAAAACGATCCGGAGGGTGGATTCGCGTCTAAACACTTTGACTTTCAAGATGTGGATGCGGACCGGCTCACACATTTTTACTGGGATCGTAACGAGGATGGCAACCCGTACCAGGTCGTTCCAGAGTTCCAGTGGATGGGTGAAGATGAGTTTGAGCAGGATAACCTGACACACGTCTCCATGGAAGACCGCAAATATCTAATATCGGAGTATTTGTAACCAAAGTAATTTGCGAAATAGGTTTCACTTAAACACATTTCACTCTTAATTTGATTAGATAGATAGCTCAACGTGTGTTAACATTTTAAAACGTCGGTTTTCGAAAGCAATTCGCTTCTCAAGCGACTCTTAAATCAGTTGATTGGGGGGTGGGGTGGCTCTAAACATCAGCAGATCTTGCCAAGAGGGAATAGAGGGAGTGTCTTCACTTTCTATGTTGGGATGAGTTGTTGTCATGATATTTACGATTGCTTTCCCTCCGACACATTCTTGCCTGTTTAGAGGTATTTGAATCCTTCTTGTCTTCTTGCTTTCCTCCATTTCAGAACTTTTCGCGACTCGTTCGAGGTCTAACATCTGGGAGTACTTTTACGACCTGTAAAAAGTTGAGTGTCAAGGCCACTGTGCATCAGAATTGTTTTACCACGTTGTTAGCTTACTTGGTAATACTTTTTACTCTTCTATTCGCCGGAAGTTACTTAAAATGAAATAATGCCCTGAAGATGCACATATATGAGCAATAATAGATATAATTCAAAAATAAAAAATATAAAAGCGATCAATGATCACTCTTGTCATTTGGAATTATTCTTTTCACTTTTCTATGCCCTATTTTTTTGTGTTTGTTTGTTTTTTGCTTATTTACCTAGTCTTTCGTCCACTAGCTCGCTAAATACTACTCGCCTTAACTCAAACTACATTCTATATTCAATCATGGCCAAGGGAAAGAAGTCTGCTGACGCCAAGGGAAGCCAGAAGCGCCAGAAGAAGGTCCTTCGCGATAACATCCGCGGCATCACCCGTGGTTCCATCCGTCGCCTTGCCCGCCGTGGTGGTGTGAAGCGCATCTCGAGCGAGATCTACGAGGAGGTGCGACGTGTGCTGAAGAGCTTCGTGGAGGGTGTCGTGCGTGATGCCACCTCCTACACCGAGTACGGCCACCGCCGCACTGTAACCGCGTCCGATGTTGTGAATGCCCTGCGCAAGCGTGGTCACATCCTCTACGGCTACGCGTAAGACCGTGACGCACTCGCAAATCCTCCTTCAAATGTGAGCAAAGTGTATTTTAGTGGAACCATGGTTCCACTAAAACTCCAATTATAGAGTTTATTATTTTACTTCTTTTTTGTTTTTTATTTTTCATATTTTGATATTATAAAGAATTCGAAATATTTATCATTTCTTTTTTTATTTGCTTACCCTGTCAGTGATGATGATTCAGAAAAGAGAAACCAATAAATAAAATATACGGATTAGTCCTTTACTACCCCTCATCCCTCGCTATATTTGCACGGATGACATTACAATCTTGCCCTTTAAATGCGCTTGGTTGAGAGTGAAGGAATATCTCTTACTAATCCTTTTCTTTCTACTAGTCGTCAATCACACACACAAGTGAAGCCAAAGTACATTTTTAAAAAAGCTTCTTCTCTACACTTGTTTTCTAAAATATCGACTAGTCTCCTCGAAGGTGTGAAAAAGTACTTTGGGGGGGGACCTCGCTTTAGGCCCCGAGACTTTTTCGGTAACTCTTTTTTGTGTGTGTGTGTGTTGTGGTAGTCATGCTCCGGCGCTGGATTAGGCACGCGGTGGGGGGTATCGCGGCCCTTCCGGATCGCAGTGTCCCCTCCGCCAGCCCTGCCCTGCCGAAAGGGATGCGCGGCATGCACGGCAAACCCACCTCCGGGCATAAGGTGCGCACGCAGCACAGCCGACGGTGGTGGATGCAGTCCAAGGCGCGCCACCTCACCGCCACCCCGCACGAGGAGGCCCGCTCGCGTCCACACTTCCCAGGCTACACGGAGGACGTCGACCGGCCGATGGTGGTGCCGGACGGGGTCTGTTGCATGAACTGCGATAAGGAAATCAACACGGAGGATGTGAATAGCTTTGTGTGGGTACCCGCCGGTAACGCTCGCGTGCCGACGCCGGAGGGGTACTTCTTCCATTTTCACTGCTTCAAGTGTTGGAACTGTAAGTACAGAATCATGCACAATCAATTTTACACTAAGGATAACAAAGCGTGGTGCGTTCCGTGCGCCCTCGGCAGGGACATTCGCGTTCCAACGCGGCGATGGCACACGTCCTATGTGAACACGCATCGCACGGGATCCCGTATGACCGGGCAATTTTTCCCACGGCATAAGCACCAGATGGAGTTTCTCTTTAATCCGAATGAATAAACATCAAGTAGCACCATGAAAATGTCGTTCTGAGCCCTTGTGTATGGGTGTGTGTGTGAGTGTGTGTGTGACAACCATCTGTGTATTAGTCCCATAGGACTCGTGCGGGACTTTAATGGATATGTGCAGACTCTTCCAAAAAGAAAAAAAGAAAGGCGGGTTGTGTTGAAGCTGTGAGAGTTGGTGAAGCGTTCGCTTTGCGCCATCCCCATCTGAAACTTTGACCATGAACGATAATCTACATGCGATGGTATCTCATCGATCCATCAACTGCTTTCTACCCTTTCCTCTTTCCTTTCTTCCTGTCTAATCTCGTCTCACTCTGGGATGGCAACACTACACAGCCCCTGTATGAAAATCTGAGTTTCTTTATGGGATACCCTGCAACTCAAACCTATTTTTAGTGACTTTTTTTTTAAGGATTCCTCGTCCTCTGTTTCTGTAGGTCGATTTGCAGATGAAGCCGTGGCTTCGAGCTGCGGGTCCATATCGGCTTCACATCAAATCCATTTGTGGCTCGCGTTGTTCTCTATCAACGTGCTGGGGCTTTCGACGGCCCCATCAATACGAAAAAAAGGAATGTGTACTCGACTCAGCAAAGCGGCTACTCACGAGTGGGAATTTGCTTCGAAAACAGTCTGTTAACTTTGCCTTGCCGAGGTCTCACACGCATGAAGGTTTGGCCTATGTGGCATGTCCGTTGTGCAGCAAGGAGCTTTACCTTCACGACATGCTCCTACATCTCACCAGTGTTCATAAAGGGCTTGATGCGGACCATTGTGAGCGCATTTGCAAAGAACGACTTGCCCTGTATCGAAAAATCGTTGGCACCTCGCTTAAGGTGCTAAATGATGAAAATAAGGAGCTGAAAGCGCCATCACTTGCGTTGCTTCCGACTGTCACACCAAATGGTGCGTATCTGTGCAACTGGTGCGTTTTGAAGCGGGACCCCTTTCCCACCCGTGATGTCTTCATCAAACACGTCATGAAGGAGCATCCAGAGCTCGATTTGGACAATGTGGAGGCGCATATCCCCCTGCCCACGAGCGGCAAGCGGCCAATGGCGTCTTCGACCCCGCGGCAACCCCCAGCGCGGATCTCAAACTCGCGAGCCTCCGACGACGTCGTCCGTCCGACGCGCTACGTAGCTGGAGTGGTGCCGGTTGCGGAGGTGGTGGAATCGCCTATCGTGGCCGCACCACGGCAGGTCGGCGTGAGCGTTCCACGCTTCATGAATAGCCGCCTCGGCGTTGGACCGAAGGAGGTGCCGGTCACCTATGAAGGATTGAAGTTCTCTGAGAACTGTTTTCCCTGTGAGCTGTGCGGCAGGATGTTTGCGAGCGAGCTGGATTTGCTGAACCATCTGGAAAGCGGCCATTCGGACGGAACCTCGCCAACCGACGTGGAAACGACCGCTAACATCTCCAAGTACATGAGGACAGCCGGTTCATCCCAACCAGTCTACGTCAAGTGTGACCTCTGCAACCTTTCCAAAGTTTACACTACAGCCTCGGCACTATTCGCGCATATCTGCCTGAAACACCCTGTCGAGGATGCCGCCTTTCACGTGGAGCGGATCATTGAAGCGCAGAAGGACGAGAAGCCATTTGTGTGCAATATCTGCTATCGCGCATTCACCACGCAGGAGTCGTTGGACGACCATACGGTGAATAAGCACAAGAGAACGAGGACAATCGCTGTGAGCGCTTTGGATCTTCTTGGCCCTGTGACGGACAAAACCCGCTGGTGGTGCGGTGCGTGCGAACGTGGGTTCAGTCAGGCCAAGTCCCTGCACAGCCACATGGTCACCAAGCACCAGCTGCCAACTCAGGCCCACCCGTGCCCAGCCTGCAAACGCATATTCTCCGATGTGTACTCCCTGGACGACCACTTCTCCGCCCAACACAAAGGAGTCACGTTGGCGGACCTTGGGATTGAAACGCACGTGGCGTGCCCGAACTGTGGTCGGTTCTTTCTTAGCCATGAAGACCTGCATAAACACGCGGTCCGGCATCACAAAAAGGATCCACGAAAGCCGGTGCGTGCCTTTGACGCCTATAATGGTGTACCATTGATGGGTAATGCCCCGCGCCCTGCAACGCAAACCCCCGCTGCCCGTGCGGCTACGATGGCAAGTGCCGATATTCAATCATCAGACATTCGGAGCGACTCGGTGGATCCTCAGAAGCCTCGAAAAGTATCTCGCAAGAAGTTATAGCGGTTAAAAAGGTTACCACTGGGAGGGTGTTGTTGCTTTAATCCATCAGTTGATTGTTTCTGTTTTTTCATCAGAGACACTTTAATTTGCTTTACAAGACTACTATTCTGCTTCGCATGAAAAGTTCTTTCAACAATCTTGAATGCCTTTTGGACTGAGTTCATTTCCTCCTTTCCCCTTGCTTCCCCTCTTCTAAACAAATGCATGCCTTACTTCGCCAAAGCAGGTGCACACAAGAACGTGAGAACAAACATCGCAACATTTCAGATAGATCTAGCATTATAAGAAAATCGATTACTCTGGCTAGACCCGTTCTGCATGGGTCATTTTGTCCCTGGCCTTATCTTAATCACTTCAGATTTTCGATTGCGTCTTTGTTGGCCCTCTCTCACACAATATCTTTTAGGCCCCTGACGTGAGGGAAACCAAAGCGGTAAAAATATTTTTTTAAGAAGGATATCTATCTAACTATATAGATAGATAGATAAAGATAAATACAAAGCTCAATAATATACGCAATCGTCAATAATAAAACACCCCGTTGTTGTATTCCATCTCGTCGCCTTCCTCTATAAGTTAAACTTTGTGAGTGCATTCGCACATTCGGAGTGAAAAGCGCTCTGTATACTTCTTGGGGAAGTGGCTGTGCCACTCTCTAAGCTACTCCTGGCGTCGTGATCAATAAGCATCCGGAATGAGTATTCCATGGATCTTTCGAGGTGGGGCAGCTGCCTCTGTTGGCGCTATTACCGCTGTCGAGTTTGATCCTGAACTCGAGCTGCTTTGGGTCTGTGATAGTTTTGGAAATCTTATGAGTTTTACGGTGCAGTCTCACGAGACAACTGAATGGGCAGTGTATTCATCCTTTTCTGCATCGACGCGATCACCTTCGAGCATTGGCTTCTTACATATAGGTGGGGAATGCATGGTCACTGTACCTGACCGCGAGGCTATAAGAGGCTATAAGCGTGGCGGTGTACCCATAATGTGCTTGCCACTGCCTTCCGACACACAAAACTACATCGACCTCTTTCAGACCAATAGCAATACCGGTTCGATGTACTTTGTCGGTGATGTCGGCCTCACACGACTCGTCTTGCAAGAAGGAGAAACAAAACGATATACAGTACCGATAGAAGAATCAACTATCGTATCCCTAAAGCAGTCCGATCAGTGGGTAGTGACGGGTAGCACTTCTGGCACCATCAACGTGTTCGATGGAAACAGCCTAAGCACCATTGGAACTGTATCGCCTTCGCGTAACCGGGTGATGGCACTTGACGTCTTCGAGAACACCGTCGCCGCCGCCTTTGTGGAGCGGTCTGCCACGAGCTTTGTAAAGGTCTTTGATGTGCGCAAGCTTGGCGAAGAGGTCTTCACGGTCAAAGATATTTTTCCAGGGAATATCACACAGATGAGGCTCTACCAGGACTCCTTCAGATCGACACAGAATCGCGCATTTTTACTCACTCCACAGGGTTACCATATCATCCAGCTTGACCTGGAAAAACCGGTATACAGTTCAGGCGGCATCATTGAAGGCTCCTCCACCGCCGTCTCCGTTTCGCCAAACCGGATGTGTGCTGTGATCGGGAACGACAAGGGTCATTTCCTTGCCCTCTCGCACCCGGCTAAGCGTGAGGAGTACATTATGTCGAATTTTGTGCAGCCTGTAAAACCCAAGCAACCAACCTTCACCCAAAGCTGGGTCTCTCCAAATGGCGACAACGGCTTTGACGAGTCGCGGGCGAGCCTCGGCCTCGCGTCGAACTGGCCAGAGGATGATTACATGATTTTAAAGGTACCGCAGAAACTACAATGCGTCAATCTTGGCCCCTACGCGACCCATTCTATTGTGCCCAACCAGTGGGGCTTCATCCGAGCGGACTCTTACCTGATCGACACCAAGGACAAGCTCTCTGCCATCATTCCGAATCCGTACCCCTTCAACACGCAACTTGGAAATGACCCTGGAAGGGTGCAGGAGCTTCTGCTTGAGCTCCGCAAGGATATGAAACGTAAGCATAAAGTCTCACGTAGTGGGGGCACCGGGGAGTACGACCCGATGGAAGACGCCCTCCAGGTGTGCTATAGTATGCAGCACAAACTGGACTGGAGGAGCTATAATGAAATTCCACATCACGTTGCAGGGATGGATAACAGCTTCCCGGAGTGCTGGCTGACTCCCATTCTGCAGTCGCTTTACCTCTGCCAACCGCCTGAGTTTCCTATCCGGCGGGTCATCATGCGACACTTATGCAGAAGGGAGTTCTGTATGACCTGTGAGATTGCGATCATATTCGCGAATATCATGATCACGACTTCCAGCGCCAGCGGGCTAAAGGAAGCCGCCCTACCACCGATTGTGCAAGTTGGCAATTTGATTCGTACCCTTCGTCAGATCCGCAACTTCGCCCTCTCAGAAGTATTTCAGAAGCCCAAAAATCGCGATGACGCCGTGGCGAAGATGCATTTGGCTCAGCGGTTGATTCTGGAGACCCTGCACAAGGACCTGCAGGATCAGAAAGGTTACCCCTTCATGAAGTACCAGCCACCCTCTCCAGATTATGAAAACTGTATAGCTTCCTTGTTTGGGACTGAGTTCACCTTGAACGGACGCATTCACGTGGAGCCACGCTTTTACTGGGAGGTCCCTGCCTCCGCGCTGAAAGTTGACGAGGGCTTGCAGCACCTCCTAAAACAGGTGGAGGCGTGCAAAGAACAGGTGCAGATCAAACGGCTTCCGCCCATCATCGTGCTCTTGTTGAACCCAGAGCACAACAACCTGAAGCCGCCCACTAGCCTCAAGATCTCACGCTCCAACAAAGAAGACTACAATTATGTGCTGAGCAGCAACATCATCCATCTTGCGGATGACATCGAAGATGTCGGTAACTTCGTAAGCCATCAGCGCATCAAAGACGACTTGTTTGCCCTTGTCAATGATTATCGAGTGACAGCTCCGATGAAGATGACGGAGTTGGAGCATCTCATCCCCGCGTTACGTTCGTACTCAGCAGTAGTAACCTATTACGCCTTAGACCAGCTCACGGCGCCGCCCTACGCGCATCAAGACAACAATCTTCCCCCGAATATGTGGCACATTCTGGGGCCACTCCTGGTTGACGACGTTCTCTCTAAAGGCTTGCAGCGCAACCCCTCAAAGCAGCAGTTCAAGTCGCCGCTTTCTTCCTACACGGATATCAAATCCGGCGACCTCGTCGCCATCGACGCGGAGTATGTCGTGCTCAAGTGGGCCAATAAGGATGACGAGGCGGATTTCCTTTACTCTGCCCATCGCAAGCCGCGGATGGGGCTGGCGCGAGTGAGCTGCATCCTCAGCAGCGAGGACGGTGACGAGCGCACCATCATGGACGACTACGTCCACATCCTGGAGGAGATCGACGACTACGTCACGCAGTTCAGCGGGATCCACCCCGGGGACCTGGACCCGCTGCAGTCCACGAAAAACCTGACCTCCTTCAAGTCGACGTGCCTTAAGCTGCGGGCCCTGGCCGACGCGGGCGTCATCTTCGTGGGCCACGGTCTAAGCCAGGACTTCCGGGTGTGTAATATTGTGGTGCCAAAGAAGCAGATCATCGACACACTGGAGCTCTTCCACGTCAAAGGTGGCCGCTTTTTGTCGCTCCGCTTCCTGATGTATCACATTCTGGGCGAGAGAGTCCAGGAAGGTGAACACGACTCGATTGAGGATGCTCGTGCCTCACTTCGGTTGTACCGCAAGTACGTTCAGTTGCAGGAGGAGGGCACGTTTGAGAATGTGCTTAATAAAGTCATGGCGAAGGGAGCTGAGACCAGTTGGTTCGTGCCGGAAAGTCGTACCAACGCCTTCAACGATATTTCCGAGTCTATGCCAGGCTCGATGATTGGTTCGCCAGTCTATGCTTCACGTGGGGTGAACAGCAGTGATGCGGAGGCAATGAGCGACGCAAAGGAAATAATCGAGGAAGTAAGCCATATGAGCAAGGAGGAAGGCGAAATCGAGGCCGAGGGTATGCTAAAGAGTGAAGTAAAATCAGTTTAAATGTGTCCGGCATCTGCCTCCTCTCTCCCCGCCACAGAAGCGACTAGCTGAAGAAGGCGAATATACGCAAATGGAAAAGATACAGAAGGTAGGACGAGAAATGTTGCGCATAGTCATAATGGGGAAATTTTTGAAAGGAAATCGTTGGGGTTTCCTTTGCTAGAGGAATTGATTTCATATTCGTAATTTTTTCATCCATTTTCGTTTCTGTTCACGCTTGGCGCGTGTGTCTAGTACAGTTTTGGACTTCTGTAATTGTGTTGGACTTGTTTACTTAAAAAGAAAAAACGGTGGCGTACTCTAACTGGTTCAAATGTAGGGGTGTGGCTTTTTGCATTTTCATGGTGTGCTTAAGGAAACGAGATATGTCAGAAGCATAACGGCGTCTATTATGAGACATGCCTGTTTTCTCTATTAAAATAGAACTACTTGCAGTAGAAAGCTGAATCGTGAATTGATCCTAATGCTTATCAGTCTTTCTGCAAATAATTGAAATGATGGATACTTCTTTTTGGGTTTGTCATTTGTGATTGTATAGTTTTCTCGTAAAATACGCATACATATACAAATAAAAAGCTAAGTCGCGAAACATATACGCACAAATACATGCTAAACAACCCCCCTCCCCCTTTGCCTAGCAGGACACCAACTCATCATAATCAGTACCGCTCAGCCTTGGGCATTACCGTTGCTTTTCCCAACTTTTGGTCTAGGCATCACCCCATCGAGGATGACGGCCTCTGTCATCTGCTCTATCAGTACCTTCAAAGGAGCCTCAAGGGTTGTGAGCAAAAGCTCTCGTCTATCTATCTTCCAGAGACAATCGTGTTTGAGCATAACTTTCCTCGTGTATGGTATTACTATGACAAAGACAGTGAAGCTATCAGTAAGCGGCCTTCTCGCATGCTCGATGTTCAGAGCATGTTTCGATTTTTCGGTGTCCCAATTAAAAACATAGACGTGGTGGCACAGTTCTTTTATGCTACGGTACCAATCGGAGAAGCCTGGGATGCCATTCTGTCACGTCGGGCAAAGGAACAGAACAGCACACTGCTTTCCCAAGGCCTGACCTACGTCGAATTCTTCACAGTGGAAGGTCTCAAGGACTTTCTACTTCAGCAGCATCGTAAGCCGGATGGTGTGCTGCAACGATTTGTACTCCCAAAGGGGGATGGATCCAGCCGGAAAAATAATCAGATACAGGTGTTCTGGTCGCCTCTCATGACGAGTGTCTACAGACGAACCAACTATCATCGGCTGGATGATCGTATGGTCCCCATTCCAGCACGTTTGTCAACCTATGATGGACCTGCGTACTACAGTTATGAGTCAATGGTTGCTGATGATACGAAGGTTTGCTTGACTGGTCTCTGTGAAGACATCGTGCGGCACTTCTATCAGGTTGAAAAAAAGCAGATAACACGAATGGTTCTCTATTTCAAAATTGATGACAACAATAGGGTTTGGCTTCTTTGGTGTAGCAGCGTGCGTGTCGAGCCTGACAGCTTCAATCCCAGTACCCTGCGTGTTCCCCCACTCCTTGATCAACGCACTGAAGTCCTCAACAATGAGAGCTCTACGGTTGCCAGACTGCAAGCTCGTCGCCATCGGCAAAAGCACCTTCTCGAGTTGGATTCTCATTTGTTCGAAGCTACCCGTGATATTGAATTTGCCCTCAATATAAACGCATCGCACCGACGGCAAGCAAAGGTCCTGGGAATGCCTGGGATGGCGAACGCGGCGCCGAAGAAGGGCTCCAAGAATCCCTGCTACGACACGAATCATCCTTTACACGAAGCTTTTGTGGCCTTGTGTGATGAAAAAGACGGCCCCTTCGTGGCAGCCATCAATGAGCACCTCAATGAGTTGGATCGTCCAAATTCAAAATCCTCCAAATCGTATCGGAACTCGTCGATCAACAATTCCGCGATGGAAAGGGGTTCCATCGATGAGATTAGTCAGAAAATGACAGACCCTCGAGATGTGGTGCTCGAGGAGCTGGTCGCGCTAGCCATGGATGCCTGGCATGCGGTGTACTCGGCAACGCTTTCAACAACTACTATGAAAGCTCCGATCACACGGGTAGTCCTTGCGGAACCTCTGGTCTCCGCTCTCAGCACCGAGGAACTTCAAACACTGGTGAATCTATTGGGGCTGCGGTCGGTTGATGCATCCGCTAGCACGCAACATTATGAGGTATCCCCCCTTTTGGTGGATCCCGGTCGTCGGCTAGATCAGACCTCGTTGCAGGTCGAAAAAGAGGTTTCAAACTTTTTCAAAACGCTATTTGACCATCGTGGCGACGAGATTACGCGGCTCTGTATGGACCAATACGGTGAACAGTTTTAGTATAAACGAGATAGATAAAACGAATTGGCGATCTAAAGCATTTTTGCGCATTAAAAACTCGAAATTTATCTCTCCTTTGCTGTTCATGCTGAAGCGGCATATGAAGACCGATTGGACAGAACTGACGCTACGAGCAATGGCAAGCTGATAAAGTTTAAAGAGTATGTAAGTTCGAATACAAAAAGATAATTTGCTATTTTTTAGACATATATGTGTATAATTGTGGAGTGTATTGTAGACTACTTTTCGGGCAACTTAGAGAATTTTTGCGTGATATAGAAGCATATACACTTTCTAATAAAATGGTACCCTTGGATTCAGAACCAAATTGGTTAGAATGCCCCCCTGGAATAGGCAGCAGCTAACACACGAACCGATTACTTTCTTCTCCTGAGGTCTAGAATTGTGTTAAGGTAGCATACAATATTTGTTTTGGTGATAGAACGGGGGGTACTACATGTGGAGGAATGAACACTAAAAGAGCCCTTTTTCAATGGCTCCTAGGGATAGTATTACTAGGTATTGGTCTGTGGTCCATTGGCCCCATGTTCTCCGTGACATTCTGGTCCTCCAGCACTGGTTTTGTAGGCATAAATGGAGTCTGGGAAAACCAACTGAAGTTATTTGCCAATATATTTCCCTCATTGGGTTTGTGGACAGCCGAGGAGGTTTCAAACCCTACCCAAGTAGCCTTTTTTTACAACAATGAGACTGTACGGTATCAAAAAGTAGCAGAAACAAACTCTAAGCATCCCTGTAACTCCAAGTCCCCTTCAGAGCTGTGCTTTGTGTGGTCGACGCGAAACTGGTCGACGACGAGCACCACCTTGTTGCCACTGCAGGGAAATGTGTTTGTCCAACCTAACGAGTATGAATTCAACGGCGTGCGCCGCCAGCACTGGACGCTGCTCATGCATGAAGGCACCATGGTGGACGGACAGAAAGCAAAATTCATGTTTCGAGGAGCATGGGATAACCTATCCTCCACAGAGGGAAGGTGGATGGGTATCGGTTATAGCACACGGGACTCCAAGATGCGAAGTATTCGCACATGGACCAACGAAAGCGATAAAGACCTGTACTACCGGTTGACTTCAAAGTACTTCAGTGGCGATCTTACCAGTGTGGAGGCCGCCAAGTTGTTCAACAGAGTCTACGATATTGAGCAAAAGAAACAGAACACTACTAATGGCGCTGGAAAAGAAGATCGGGATACAGGTAAAAACATCCTTACTTATACAGACGTCACCGATACTTCCTGTGTGTGGCTTGGTGAGATCGCTTTCGGTAATTCAACGGGTACAGTGGGGCATATGTGGTCTACCTGTGGTGATGCTATCAGTTGGTCTTCAAGCATGCAGAGCTTCCGCGCCTGGTCGCGCCTCACAAATTGGTATGCTATTGGCCTCCTCTTTCTCCAGGCGATACCGATGCTATGGGGGTGCTGGCACCAATTGCAGTGGATCCGACACTCCCGCACTTATACACTTCGAGTGAGTCTGCTTCAGGTTCTATTCCTTCTTTTCTGGACATCCTTTTACGGCAAGGCGATACAGAGGTTCTCCGTCTACATGCCACTCTCATGGAAACTCATGCGCCTTATCGAAGTCTTTTCCTTGTTCAATCAGGTTTTACAATGGGCTCTGCTTAGTAGCATCTACCAGGAACAGATGAACTACCTCAACCGCAGCCCTAATGAATTCGATAATGGCCTATTCCAATCCCTGCTTATCATTCAGACCGGTCTCCTGTCGTGGGATTTATTGTCGGAATATCTGACGAATGCGTGGTTTTTAGGCATCTCGTTGTCGCTCTTCTGGCTGCCGCAGGTCGTTCACTTTTTCACCTCGAACGGCTGGGCAGGTTTGACGACACCTTTTATCCTAGGCAGCGCCTCGCTCGGCATGGTGCCGATGGTGCTCGTGCTTGGATGGTCTCCGGAGCCGTGGGAGCTGCCGAAGGGGGCGTGGAATCGGCTTTTTCTGGCGACGGTAGTGCTCTCGCTGCAGACCGTCATCCTAACCACCCTGCGGTGGAAGGCGAATCGCTATATACTACCGCATTGGTTGGCACCATGGCGCCACAGGTACGTCGCCTCGCTTGAAATTCAGAATATCGCTTTGCAAGAGACTCCTCTCTGCCCTATTTGCCGTAATAATCTCCGTGAAGGATGGGATGAGTCGGATGAGCTCTGGCGTACGCCGTGCAATCACTTCTTTCACAAATCATGCCTACAGCGATGGATGGACGAAAGCCACAATTGCCCACTATGTCGACGATTCCTTCCTGAACCGTAAAGCATCAAGAGTGAAGAAAGGGAGAAGCTATGTCTCATATAATCACTGCAACTTTGTGGTGGTCATAAATATATATGAATTTTATCTTTCAATAAGGAGAAAAGGTGTATATATATTAAGAGTTCATTTGCAGTCATGTCATACTGAAATACTAGCTTTAAATGGAAAAAGAAACTATGCTTTATCGTTTGCTTTTCAATTGGTAGGGCTGCTATATGGGAAAATGAGTGGTTTGTTGAGATAGGCTGGTGTAAGCCTTTCCTATCCTACTATTACTCGCCTTCTTTAATGTTCTTTCATGCGACTCGCTATATCAATCTAAACCCTGGGCGTCCAACCCATCGTATCTTCATTAACACAATATATATATACATCATGAATTGAAAACCAAACCATATTTAGTCTAGTGAAGGAGGGGGGGAAAGGGCTACTCTTATTGTTTTTCTTTTAGTCCGTGATGAACCAAAGTGTTGGTATCGGGTATAGGCATAGCTTAGGATATAAAACCAACACCCCCTACACCGAACCGCTCCAACTTCGACAAGGCTATACCGAGCCCGACTTAACGCTACCGCAGCACGCTCTCGTCATCCTCGGCAGCGCCTTCGCTGTTGCCTGCGCGCAGCGCCCGATTCGCCAGCTCGAGCGGTTTTACTTCCTCTCCGACGTCCCTGGCGAGAGTCGTCGAATTGGGGTTTCCGATAAGCAATCAGAGGTCGTACGCACCCTCTTTCGGACGCGTTGGTGGGCGGGTCCACCGCTGTGGCGGGGAACGCTGAGCGGGGCCGTTAGTCTCGGGGGATTCGTCTACATTCGAAGTCAATTCCATGAAAAAGGTGGCCCCTGCAGCGGTTTCATCGCGGGCGCCGCCACCGGGCTCCTCTACGCCGTGGCCTCCCACCCTTATGACGTCCTGCGTGCGACCGCGGAGGCGCCAAACGCCCCGAAGACCTTTCGCGGTCCGATGGATGTCCTCTGGACGGCGCTGACGAAAAAACCGCGGGTTTTGTTCGGGCTCTATCGCGGTATCCCCACGATGGCGATGGCGTACGCCACGCATTATGGGGTGCAGTTCGGCTTGTACAACTACCTTCGCTACGATGGGGTCTACCGCGGCCCTCTGGTGCTCTTCTTCTACTGCCACCTCGCTGCCTTTGTGGGGCAGGTGCTGTTTTTCCCCTTTTTGCGTGTTCGGCAGCAGCTACTCGCGGTTAACTCACGCATACATTTAAGGCCAGTCGGCTATCGCTTTCTTATTGGAGAACTGCGTCGGCGATACGGTTTATCAAAGGTCTATGACGGTTTCTTTTCCTCGAAGCCGGTGCTCAGTACTATCCCTGCCGCCTTGCTTCTGATGTTCTATGATGTTGCCTCGAGACGGTATACGGAATACCTAAATCCGGAACGAAAGGCTCGAGCGAAGCCCTCGCAGCAGCTGGGCTCGGTGCGGCTGCCTTCTTATGTGACCTCACCCGAGCCATATGAGTTCGAGAGCACTTCCCCTTTGGCTGTGCAAGTAAAGGCTAAGCATGTCTGATAAATGTGCAGATACTTGCGAAGACGAGGTCGTTTTCTCAAGTGTGAGCTGGAATGCATCATTGTTGTTTACATTTATTGGTTTATTTAGACTAATGAGGAACGTTTGGAGTTTAGTTGGTATATCGCTGTTTATGATCCCAATCATGCGGTATTTATTGCACTCACTCTATTAGCTTTTGGTCACCTTGTTTTTATATGTGGATGTGATCAGTCACTTTGGTCTGATTACATCTTTTGTTTATGGTGTCAATATCTGACTTCGAAATGTACCCATTCATTTTTTACCTGGTATTTTTTGGGGGGGAGGGGGGAATTGTCATTCAAGGAGGAAAAGGGTTTTTTAGCCAACTAAGGGTTTAGGCCTGTGCTTGCCGTATACCCTATATTTTCTATTCTTTGGCTCTATATTAGTGGTAATCCTCTGGCATCAAAGAAGTATATATATATATATGTATATACACAGATACTGTTAATGGGGCAAAGAAGAGAAATAATGGAATCATTTCTTAATTGGATCTCCACACGTGAAATAAAAAACCGAATCCTTCACATAATCAATGCGGCTCTGAAGTACTGTTCCTCCGAGGCCTTTCACAAGGCTACTGCGATAGCAGATGAGCATCCCAAGGAGTTCCTTGAGGTCCTACTGCCGCGATTCAACTATGCAAAACCTGACATGACGTACGCCGCGCTCCTCCTCCTGGAGCACCTCGTTAGCTCCTGCAGTTACAACTTTCACGTTGCGCTCGCACGCTTCCCAATTTTGCAGGATAAAATCGTTACCCTAGCCATACGCCGCGCCGAAGATGAGTCGCACCGCTCGGTTCAACGCCTCTCTCGTCTTACGTTGCTCGAGTATTCACGGATATTCGCAGACGATAAGGATTTGAAATGTCTCTCCACCCTTCTCAACACCTTCGAGAAGAGTACAGGGAAGAACCTGATGCGTTGCCTGAACATCCAGAAGCGCAAGGTGAAGTTCAAAAAGGTGACCTCGGAGGATTATGTGTTGAGAGAACCGAGCCCGGACCCCTCCAGTCCTTTAGAGGCCTCCAACGTGGAGGTTGGGGTGCGAGATTTAGCACCGCTGAAACTGAGCGCAGCGGAGGTGTGGCCGTGCTGCGTGTGTGGTTACATGAACGCGCCGTCGGGAACGCGATGTGCGGCCTGCGAGACGACGCGGCGGATTACAACCCCCTTGAAAAGCTCCGGATGTGAGCAGAACGGAAATGAAAAAGAGAAGACGGGGGAAGCCGAATCCGTGGTGAAGTCATCGAGCCCGCCTCTTGAGTTGGATGTGCTAGCCAAGTGAATCCTTCCTCCCTCCCCCCTCCCACACACGCTTCATGAAATTAGATACGAATGCGATGGGCACCAAACAAAGTGGGAGATTGTAATTTGCGTTGTGAAATACTTTGATTGAATTGAGCTTTGCTGTTCGACAGACAACATCGCGCTGACGCTTTGGTGAACGATTAGGTAGAGGAATGTGATGCTGAAAGGTTTTGCTTCAAGAAGAGTAAATAGAAGAGGGGAAAGAGGATGGGTATCATGAAGCGTAGGAAAAAGTAAGCAGGTCGAAGCTGCATGGATCGTGTAAGGGGAAAGAACTATGTCAGGAGGTGTTTGGCTACCAATGCCTTTTTGACAACTGTTATCTTCGAAAAAACTACAGAAGTGTTATGGGATTCAGTTCAAATGCGCTTTCTTAGCTGTTTCAGGCGTTTTTCTGGTGGAAAGGTAAACACTTTATTTAGTTTTTGCTTAATGTCTCTGTGATAAGCACTATGGAGCCCCATATTGCGCTCGCTAATAAAGATGAGAATATTGAAAACAGATATTGCAAATGTTTCTTTTAGTCGTATCAACCAAAAAAAGAAAGCTGAGAACTCAAAACGAACGGATTTTTTACTTTAAAGGAGTTATTACCCTTCGACTGCGAATATAAGCACATGCGAATTTTGACATGATCAGATTCCAACATAGCTTTTGGTTGTGTAAGTGTAAAATCGGTGAAATGTTGCGTGTCGATATATAGCAAATAATAATTTACTTTTAAAGTTTTTGCACACATACAAATTTTGATTTACCATGTTGTATGAATTATTCATTCTTAAAAGGGTGTGCACTGGTTAAAAATAAACCCAAATTTCAGTCAGCGCAGTACCGTTCCATATAAACTCCTTTATTTTTATTTGCCTCTATTCAAGAATAGCATTCTAGTGCTCAAGTCTTGTGGAAGGCTAAAAAATCATAAATTGACGACAGGTTGCATCATATGCACTTGAAGACTCTCTGTAGTCGTTGAATTTGAGATTTACGCGTGAATCTGTTGAAGCGTTTCTCAGTCTTTTTTCTCAAAAAGAAAAACAAACGTCCATGTCTTATTGCTACCTTGTGTGGAACTCTACATGTGTCTTGATAGATATGCCCAGCCACCTTTTTTATTTTTGTCATACCTCTCTGGGGGTTCAGCTTTCTCATCCAGGATCCCTCCATCATTATTGGCCTTGTGATGAAGGCAAAAGGAAAACCACATGCGTAAATTAAAAAAAACTGCTCTCTATCACGTTCTTTTCCTGTATACATTTTCTTTATATATATATATATATATATATTGGTGAGGGAAAGGGAGCTAAGGATTAGTTAGTTTTAGTTAGTGTGAGTTCTGTCAAGGAGATGCCCAAGGCGCCTCGCCCCGTTCCCATGGGCGTGATCTCCGCGGAACCCGTTCAATCCGCCTCGCGCAAGCTGAAGTTCGCTACGAAGGTGACGGTTCTAGGTAAGAGCTCCCCGCAAGGGCATAAAGAAAAGAAGAAAGCAGCCGTTGGCGCCAAAACCGGTGGGGGGCAGTCCGGGATGGTCTTCAACAAAGGCTTCGGGCAGCATATCTTGAAAAACCCTCTCGTGATCGCCGCGATCGCGGAGAAGGCGGCGATTAAACCAACCGACATCGTCGTTGAAATCGGCCCGGGAACGGGAAACCTCACTGAAAAACTTTTGCAGTGCGCGAAGAAGGTGATCGCGTTCGAGATCGATCCGCGCATGGTAGCGGAACTCCACAAACGCTTTCATGGTACCCCGCTTGCAGCCAAGCTGCAGATCATCCGCGGCAATTGCCTAGAGCAGGACTTCCCTTACTTCGACAAGTGCGTGGCGAACGTCCCCTACGCCATTTCCTCCGCGTTGATATTCAAGCTGCTGAAAAATCCAACTTTCAAGTGTGCGGTGTTGATGTTTCAGCGGGAGTTTGCACTGCGTGTGTGTGCTCAACCCGGCTCCGAGGCCTACTGCCGTCTTTCCGTGAACACCCAGCTACTCGCGCGCTGCTCGCATTTAATGAAAATTAGCAAAAATAGCTTTAACCCACCCCCGAAGGTGGAATCCAGTGTGATCCGGATAGATCCCAAGCACCCGAAACCGGATGTTGATTTCGAGGAGTGGGATGGCATGGTGAAGATGATATTTAACAGGAAAAACAAAAAGGTGTCTTCCATTTTTCGCACCAAGGCATCCGTTCAAGCTCTTTATGATAAGTATCTTAGCTATAAAAAAATGCAAGGCCAATCGGTCGAGGATGTAATCCTTGAGTCGTTTAAAGCGCTTTTGGAAAGCGTCCTCGCCGATCCACTCTTTGACCAGCGCGGCCGTCTGCTAGACGAAGAAGCGCTCATGACGCTTCTAGGGCACTTTAATCGGAATGGAATTCACTTTATTTAAAAGTATTGGAGGAGGAAGTTCTTGGGAATTTCAACATTTTCTCCCTTGGTACACATCACGCGATTTGCTTTAATTGAGAGAAAGTGATAAGTGCTGAACTCTCCCTTGGTTTAGCTACTTGATAAAATCATGCAGATGTTTTGATTTGTATTCATACTTATTCCTTTCGCTTAATTGCAGGAACTACGATGACGTTCATCTCGCTAATCCTTTCAGGTTGCATTTAAGGGGAGGCAATAACATTTAAATTATAACTCGAATAAAAATGATGGATAAGTTTTCTAAATAGTCTACTAACACGTCCGTTTACCAGTGGATGGAAGATGACGTGGAGAGATACTCTTTACCGCTAAGGTGTATATTTCATTGTTGAATTTGTTTTTTCTCTTTGTTCACTTCACGTTCTATGATGTATAAAATTGTATTTTATACATCAATACTAGCAGAGGAAGGCAGGTTATCTACTCCCTATACACCTTTTTCTTTTTTTTTTACGTGCTTAAAGAAGAGAAGAAGATTAAACACACAAAAGAACAATTCTGTCAACGATAACCATTCAAAACCTCAGACGCATTTGGTTTTAGGAATGTGGCGTCAACCTCGTGTGTTCATCCCACGGCGATCTATCACCACCTCCGCTGTCTTTCAAAGTCAGCGATGCATCGCGGATAAGATCCTCATCGGCAGCTGCTCTTCCTTCCTTACCTCCTTCTCAACACTTGGGCTTTTTCACCTCCTCGTTGTTCCGCTATCCTCAACAATTGCTATGGCGACTCTCGCTACCGCCACCGCGACGGGTGCGTTATGTGTGATTGACGGTGGAAGCCAAGACGGAACGACTTTCGGCGCGATCGTTGGAATTTTTATCGGCGGCCTGGGCGGGTTCTACGCGAAATCGAAGAACGAGCCATGGAAGAAGTAACCCAACCAAAAAAAAAAGAAGGATGAAGTAAAAGGAATAGCTTGGCGAATGTGTTGAATAGGCTCAGAATTTCACAAAAAAAAAAGGAAAATTTGGGATCTGTGTAACGGTGTAACTGTTTCCTTACTTTTTTAAAAGCTCATAACAAAAAAAAATTCCATCTGGTAATTCAGACCCATTTTTTCCTCTCGTTTCCATGATCCGAATGCTTGGTCCGAATAATACTGAACGTATATCACATGTCATGCACCTTTTTTATATTTTTTCCAATACATTCTAGGTGTTCACTTTTTAATGAAATAGAGTGAGTAAGTTATGGGTTTAGGCGTAATAAACCTCAGTAATTCAGTATTTGGTTTCACAGTGCGCGTTTACAAAGCAATTCATCTTGTGTGTTGATTAACCGCACGGGTCGTTGAACCGGTATCCCCAAAGCCGTATTCTAAAAAGTTGCCCCATCACCCGCTTTATAACTCCTCCTATCCCATATTTCATCTAAGGATCTCGGTTCGGCGGGGCAAAAGGTATAACGAAAAGAGGACCACCGACTATTGATATATTAGTGTAGGCAATCCAACGGGCCCTTTTTGAATGCTCTCCCGCTGCTTATTTTGCCTGAGCGGAGGGGAAAAGTTAATCCCCTCGCTCGTGCGGGCGGCGCAGCGGGAGCCCGTCTACCTTCGTCGGGCGCCTCCCACGCGCTACTTTACCTGCACGCCCCCCCCTCGCGCGCGACGTCATCTCACCCGTTTCCTCAAGAGCGACAACGACGACGGGAAGGGTCGTGGCGTCTTCGCCATCTCCTCCACCGCCTTGACGGATCTCCACTTTGAAGAAGAAAAGACGCTTTCCACCGTTCTCATCGGGTTGCCGGAGGTCCACAGCGAGGACAACGCGGCGCGTTTCGTCGAGGTAAACGCGCGTGCGCTCCAGGGGTTGCATCTGGTGGTTCTGCCGGAGGTTCATCCGAGCGCAGGGGAGGCGTTGAGGGCGATTCGACGGCGCTTTCCGCAACTTCGCATCGCCGGTGGGAGCTTCGCGCGGGCGTTTCTCTCCGACGCGACTTTTTTCGACGGGGTGCGGCGGGCTATTCGCGAGAACGCCACCGGAGCAAAGGAGATAGTCTTCGCTGAGGTGGATAATGAAGAAGGGTGGGTGGAGTTGGTGGATGGCCTTTCCCTCTCGATTGAAAAGGCACGGGAGGAAAAGGAAACGGGAGGGGAGGGTGGCGGTTGTCTGCAGGTCTACAGCGTCCCCTCCCACCCCCTGCGTGAGGAGCGCCGCCGTGGTGCTCGTCGGTTTCGCCACCACCCGCCGCATTTCGATCAGCAGCACTTTTTTTTCTACGATCCCGCGTTCGAAGCGATGCATGTGGGGGCCTCGGCCGGGTGGTTGCCGTGGCTTCCGCAGATTTTAACGGAATCCCGCGCGGCGTGGATCTTTCCCCTCCCACCCCTGATGGCCGCGGAGCAACGCGAGGAGGATGGGTTGTTGTTGGAGGTGTGGCGCGTCCGTGAGGCGGCGGAGAGTTTCGCGCAGGCCCTCCGTAAGGTGCCCTCCATCCAGTACGTCCTCGCCGCCGGCTACGGTGAGCTCCCTGGCGACGTCGAAGAGGTGATCACCTCGCTCGATCACACCGCTGGTGAGCTGGAAAAGCTACGGAGTCGGCTGGCAAGACGGTTGGAGACGGATACCGGACGCGATCTTCCCAAATGGAGTGCACTGCTTCTCGAAAAGGTGGTGAAGGAGCTCGGGTGTGGAAATCGGGTACGCGATCCGACCTCAGCCGAGGTGTGGAATGGCTTTCTGCGATGGGCCGCGGAGGACGACCTGGGCCGTCTTTGTCGAGTCCTCACGCGGGCCGCCATGAGCCTCCCCCCAACGGAGCCGACGGAATCGGAAACCCCCCAGGTGGGTTCGCCCGCCGATTCGGTGAAACCACCCCTGCCGAAGCGCGTAGTTGATGTGGAAAACGATGAAGAGCTCGAGGGGCCTCAAGGGGTGGTGCTGATGCAATCCATATTTAGCAAAAAAGGCCTCCAAAGCTTGAATAGGATCGTGCGGAAGGAGGAAATCGACGTGCGCGTGTTCCTGGCTATGAAGCAGGAGGACTTCACGCGCGTCTTTAAGACCACTTTTGGGCTCTCGAAGAGGCTCGAAAGGCTCCAGGTCGAGCTAAAGGAAAAGATTCCTCCTAGCAAATTGTGAGCTGCGAAGCGCAAGTCGGCATGAATGATTAATGAGTCGCTACAACAATGCGTTAACGACACCCTTCTGTACATGTATATATATATATATATATATATGTATATATATATATACATATATAGTTATGTTCATTGTGTCTCTTCTATATTCTTTTTTTTTCATTCTATCCAACTGAATATGATGGAAAAGACTTCCCATTCTCTTGGACTTTAGTATTTTTTTCCCTCCGTCCCTTTAACTCTCCACCCCCCCCCTATCCTTTGACATGAAAAACAGGTCCAACTAGTGAGAAGGTGAATCCGTGAGTCAAATTTCGATCCCCCCGCTGCGGCGTCATGAGTGAGATGAGGGTGGGTTATGTGGGGCTTGGCCTCATGGGTTTTTCGATGGCGTGGAACGTCCTGCGTGCGGGGTTCCCGCTTTACGTGTGGAACCGCACGCCGGCGAAGTGCGCGGCCCTCGTCGAGGCCGGGGCGCAGCTCTGCCAGACGCCCGCGGAGCTCGCCGCGGTGGTGGACGTCGTCTGCACGAACCTCCCCGACGCGGCGGAGGTGATGGAGGTCGTGTTTGGCGCGCACGGGGTCGCGCATGGGATCCGCCCCGGGGCGGTTTTCATCGACCACAGCACCATCAAACCCTCCGCGGCGAGGGAGGTCGAACGGCGGTTGTGGGCGATGCGGCAGGTCCGCGCGTTGGACGCGCCCGTCTCCG